TATATATATATATATATACCAAGATCAAAAAATTATCTAAACATTCTTCAACAACTGTTGTAGAGTTTTTTAGGCAATTAATCATTAAAACGAATAAAAGAAACCAAAGATTTTATAGTTTTTCCTTAATCAAATCTTTTGAGGTCTCGATGGGCTTTAACATCTTTTCAGGGAGAAGAAAATGAGTCTTCAAGGATTTGATTGAAAAATCACTACTTTCTTATAATGCATTAACCTAAAAAGGTTGTTGTTATCCCATAATGGATCAATACTGACATCTATCCATTTAAAACCATATGGTAACATATGGTAACTGTGTGATTTCATACCTTTTTAATTAATTATATAAAATATATGATTAATTAATTATTGTTTTGTTCTAATTAATGTTTTTTTATACTTCTAAGGATTAAGGGATTCTTGGGAGTTAAGTTGTTGGTGAGGTGATTTTAGTTAGGGTCAAGTTGGTCTAACTTAAAGAAATGTATGTAACATTTTTTTAAGACGTGAACCTTATAAACTCATATCTTAAGAAAAGTATAGAAAAGTTAGAGAGAGAGACATTAGAGCAAGAGAAATTCTACCTCCTCCTATTTCCATTAATTCCTTCTAAGCCTTTCCTATAAATGATATGAGCTGATAGAGTTGGAGGTTCAAGTTTCTCGAGCTAAGAATTTACCTTGGGAACTGTTGAATTTCTTCCTCTTTCTCTTGATTTCAAGTGATTCAAGATAAAGGAAGTTTGTGATTGATGAATTGTTGAATTGTACTACTTGTTTGTTGTTGAAATTCATCAAATGTTGGTTATTCTTTATTGAATTTAAAAAGAATGTGAGTTGTTTGAGTTTTTGGTTCTTGAAGGTGTTTTAAAGTGAATTTGATGATTCTTGGTAATCCTTGGTTGCATATTGTATTTTGTGTTGGTTTGAAGTTGTTTATGTTGTAGATATGTTGAATCCTAGGATGCATGTTGGTTTGGTTTTGTGATTTGCATGTTTGACCCAATTTGGGGATTATACCAAGAATTCTCATTATGCGAATGTGCCTTGGCGCCAGGCATGGCTCATGTTAGAGGCTCTCTACCTTGATCCCATCAAGCACGAGATTGGAAGCATTGGGTACGGGTCAATGAGAAACTCTCTAACCTAGTCACGTTAGACGTGATAATAAGAGGCGTTGAGTAAGATTGCTTAAGGAGCTCTCTAATTTGGTAAAGAGGGGCGTAGATTGAAAGACACCAAATGTGATCAAGTCAATGGCCCTCTACTTGGACAACGTTGGACACCAATTTAGTAGCATTGGACGTGAGTCAAGCAAAGACTCTCTACTTGAATGAGGTTGAGCATTGGTTTAGCCATGCTAGGCGAGATTGACTTAGAGACTCTTAGCCTTATCCACATCAAGTATAAGAGGATTAACGTCAGGCGTGGGTGAACCAAAGGCTCTTTACCTAATGATGTTGGGCATAGGGAGAATGGCGTCGAGCATAGTTTGTTGGATGAAGAACTTGTTGAAAATTTTTTGAAGTGTTGAGAACATATGAAGTGTAATGCTTTCTTACATACCATATGATGTTGTATGACTTTCACTCATTATACAATGATCAAGGATAATGTCTAGTGATGTTTTAGGTTGCTAAGTTGTAAGTTGATAATTGATTGAATTTAATTAAGTTGCAAAGTGTATGTTGTTTGAAGTTGTTAAGTTGTTAGACATGTGATGAAATGATACATGTCTTAGTTGAGACACATAAAAAATAGAGAAGAGTAAAGTGTTTTAAAAATTAAAATATCCTATTGTTGGATATAAGTTGCGGTGTTCAGAGAGGCCAAAAGTTAAGAACCCTTCAATGAGCAGTTGACTCCAGAATACGAAGATGTTTTAAGTTGTCTTCTCTAGGATTTTATATGGGACTATGTGAGGGTTAGGTTAAACCATATGTGTATAAAGTGACCAATTAATTAAGGTATGAAATTTAGGGTTAAAATCCTTAATTGATTATTAGAAAGATGCATAGTATTTAGAGGATAGTCGACAAGTTAGTCCTATAGGAGGTTTAGTTAGGCATGTTAAGGTCATGGTAGATTCACACCCAAGCTATTCTACCTTGACAATAGTACTAGACTTTCCTAGTTTAAGTGAAAAAACCTAAAAAATTAATTACGGTCACCATGTCAGCCATTGTTTCTAGTTTGATAACTAGTTGTTTCTAGTTTTATATCAATCATTGTAGTTCGGTAGAATTGAGTCACTTAGAATGTTTATTTTATTTGTAAGAGATCTCCATTAGTTGATATGTGTAATGACACATCAATTGTTCAATTGTTTAGTGGTTGTTATTAGTTATTTAACAATTACTTAGTTGTTAGTTATTGCTATCAATTATTTGTCTATTGCTCTGTTGTATTTGGAGTTGTGAAAGTTATTCAAATTTGTTTGAAGTTGATTAACTGCTTTTCAATTGTTTATCATCTATTATGAGTGATTTTATTATAATCAATTGTTTCTATGAATAAGTAGTGAAATGTTTATGATGATAATTCAATTGAGCTAAGTTATTTATGTTGATTTTTTCACAAACTTACCCTTTCGTTTTCTTGTAATTAGATTGCAATGATCATACTTAGTATGCATGGAAGCAAAGCAAAATTAGCTTGGATGGCTTGGTTATTGGTGTAGGGTCATGTTGGAGATGACTTGATTTTGGTGATACTGCTCTAATGTAGTATGGTTTTGTATAGATACTTGATTGGGGCTATTTTATATATGGTCTGGTTCCAGCATGCATGGAGGTTTTCGACAACAACATAGGCAATGCTCCGAACCAGATAAAGACAGCAAAACGCGAAGACGCTGCAAACATAACCGAACAAGACCTCTTGCAGATACCAATAGATAGCACAATCTATTTTCACACGAGTAACAGAGTAGGACCATTGAAGGAAGAAAGAAAGACGATGGACCTGGGAACCTATGGCAATCCTACACCAGCAGAGAAAAAGATCGACTCTTACTATGATGTGCCAGAAGGAGTGGATATTCGTGGAAGATACGATGAAGAGTTTGCAAAAATCCTCACAAAAGATGCTCTGAAGTTCGTTGCTGACCTGCAACGTGAGTTCAGGAACCATATCAAGTATGCATTAGAGTGCAGAAGAGAGGCAAAGAGGAGGTACGATGAAGGGGCTGTGCCAGGGTTTGATCCTGCTACTAGGCACATAAGAGAGCATGAGTGGGTATGTGCACCTGTTCCACCAGCTGTTGCTGATAGGAAAGTGGAGATCACTGGCCCTGTTGACAGAAAAATGATCATCAATGCTCTCAACTCTGGAGCTAAAGCCTTTATGGTTAGTATATCTACTCTACACTACTATGCTGTAATTTGACTAAGGTTGATTGAGTTAAGCTTAAGACATGTACCAAAAAATGAGAAACAAGACTATGCTTTGATGACTTTTACAATAACTATTTTAAAACTCATACTCATAATGATTTGTAATTGGTTGAGAAAACTGATTAATTACAATAACAATATATAACCATTAAATCCATAAAAAAATTTGTGTAGACTTGTATTTTTATGTGATTTAAGTCCATAAAAAGCTTAAATTGTGTCAATTAAAAATTTAAGTTTTCTCCCATTCAGAATCAGATTCTTCTTCCCTGATTTCATCTGCCATTGAGGATGTTCAGGATGGAGGACCTGATTTTAAAATAAGAAAATACTTGAAAAGTTTAGAACCTAAGATATCAAACTTTCACATTTGTGAAAAGGGATTGGAAATGTAACTTTTCGGTTTTACTTATATAAGGGTTGATTGAATTTGGTTTATCCCGGAACTAAAGCACTGAAAGTTGTTGTTTTTCTGAATTTTAAGGCTGATTTTGAAGATGCACTGTCACCGAGCTGGGAAAATCTTATGAGAGGGCAAGTGAACTTGAGGGATGCTGTGGCTGGGACCATAAGCTTCCATGACAAGGTCAGAAACAGGGTTTACAAGCTCAATGATCAGACAGCAAAGCTTTTTGTGAGAGTAAGAGGTTGGCACCTACCCGAGGCACATATTCTGATTGATGGTGAACCTGCAACTGGTTGCCTTGTTGATTTTGGCCTCTACTTCTACCACAATCACTCAACATTCCGGCGCACTCAAGGTGCTGGCTTTGGCCCTTTCTTTTACCTTCCCAAAATGGAGCATTCAAGGTAAGCACTATGCTATGCACTCATAACACGAGCCACAGGACAAAGCTACAATTTTAGTAGTTTCACTAGTTTTAAGCTTTTATGGGAAGCTAGAATTCGGTTTTGTAGTTTAATATATGAAATACAAAACTTAGATACATCTCTTCTAAGTACTTGTTTAGGTATGTCAAAAAACTAATATATCATTTAAGAGTTGAGGTCAAGTCTAAAAACATTTTTATCCTTTAACTCACTTAAGAGTCTTTTTAAAGACAAACTCATGATGATTCAACTAATATTAAAATGGACAATACTTTAACTTCAATTGGAGCAGTCCAACCTAAGGTTGGAACACTTCTCATGTTATTTTCTAATTAAAATTGTAGTTTGAAATTCTAATTTTGATCATAGAACAGAGTCAAACATATTTAAGGAAATGAATCTAAGTTTTGTCCTATATTTTGAAATTGTAATATAAGACTCTTGTATTATCTAGGTAAAACTCTACATTTGAAAAATAATACTGAGATACTAATTAAGAAATTACATCTGAGTTTTATTCTATATTATAGAAGTGTAATACGAGAACCTTGTGATTGACAGGGAAGCTAAGATATGGAACAGCGTGTTTGAGAAGGCTGAGAATGTAGCAGGCATCGAAAGAGGAAGCATCAGAGCAACTGTTCTGATAGAAACACTTCCTGCGGTGTTTCAAATGGATGAAATTCTGTATGAGCTGAAGGATCACTCGGCGGGTCTGAACTGTGGGCGTTGGGATTACATTTTCAGTTATGTCAAGACCTTCCGGGCTCACCCTGATCGCCTGCTACCAGACAGGGTCCAGGTTGGCATGACTCAACACTTCATGAAGAGTTACTCCGATCTCCTCATTAGAACGTGTCATAGACGCGGTGTGCATGCTATGGGAGGAATGGTATGTAATAGAACCACTTTGATTATAAGAGCTTGTTTGGATAAGTTTAGAAACGATCTTGAGAACTTTTATTTGAAAACACTATATATTTATAGTAGAGAAGTATCAAATTACAAGATAGTATCGAAGTTTTTCTTATGAATTGTTGGATTTATCGAACTATTTATTGGATTTTTGTGACGGATAGATGTTAAATCCTTCAAATCTTATACTCTATTTCTCAATGTATAGGAGGTGTATGTTGGAGAGGAGAAAACCTCTTACAATCTAGATCTTGGGGATCAAACTACAACATTGTTTTATTTTTTCAATAATTTACATAGAAGATGTCTTTTTATTGGGGGCAGTATTCTTGCCTACTAGTCTAAAGTCCTATCTCATTCACTGTACTGTAACAGCCACTAGTTTGAAGGGCATTTGTACACAAATGAGATCCAACACGAGGTTCCGGTGCTAAATAGATTGTGATGTGTTTGACGAAAATTCAATTTGTTGAACAGGCAGCACAGATTCCAATCAAAGATGACCCAGTGGCTAACGAGGCAGCACTGGAGCTTGTGAGGAAGGACAAGCTAAGAGAAGTGAAGGCAGGGCACGACGGGAGTTGGGCAGCACACCCTGGTCTGGTTCCAGCATGCATGGAGGTTTTCGACAACAACATAGGCAATGCTCCGAACCAGATAAAGACAGCAAAACGCGAAGACGCTGCAAACATAACCGAACAAGACCTCTTGCAGATACCAATAGGAGGCCGAAGCATGGAAGGCCTGAGACTAAACACAAGGGTGGGAATTCAGTACATGGCAGCATGGCTGGATATATATATATATATGTATATATGCATATGCAACCCCATAAAAAAGGCTTTATGTTTTCAGTCTTATAAGCAATACTTGTTTTGTGTTATTTACATCCTATACATATATTGTTGCACAAATATTTAGGTGATTGTTGCATGAGAATCCTAGAGTGGTTGAATTCTTTTATGCTTTTCGTTGCATAAATAAATGTGTTATACTAAGTGTAGTAATCTGTTGGATCATTAGACATACTATCTTATTCAATAATCTAGCAGACTCGCCTAGTTTTACTAAACGAAATAAATTTCACTACTTATAAGTAATCAATATAATTGTTTTATAATATTAACCTACATTAATGTTTGGAATATAAAATTACAACAATCTCTCATTTTTAATGATATTTTTTTAAATTTTTTATATTTAAATTGAATTTCAATATTTTTTTAATGATTTATAATAATCTTGTATTACGGTATAATTTTTTATATCACAAATCTAAAAAATAATGTATATGTTTTAAAAAAATATATATGTTTTTTTATAAATTTCAATTATAATATAATTTAAATATTTAAAAGAATTTATTTATTATAAATTATAGTTATTTAAAATAAACCTTTATCACATGCATTGCTTCTAAATACTAGTTATTCATTGCTTTTGAATTTTTTTTGCTAAAACCCTATTTTGGTCCCTTATAATCTTTTTTTGTTTCAATGTAGTCTCACTTTTATTTTTGGTCTCAATTTGGTCCCATATTAATTAATTGGTTTCAATTTAGTTCCAAATTAATTAATTGGTTTCAATGTGGGACTTCCGTCCAAATTATTTAAACGGAGTTAACTTTTGGGCACGTTGTAACACCCCAGTTTTTATTTCATTTATTTATTTATTTATTTTATTTGAGGGTATTTTGGTAATTTTATAAAGGTGATAGGGGTGATTTAGTAGCTTGGAACGGGCTGTTCCGGAATTGGAACGGGCCGTTCCAAACTACCAAATTGTATGTGAGTTAATAGCCCAGAACGGGCCGTTCTCAAGATGGAACGGGCCGTTCCAGACTATTAAATATGCCATTAACCCTAAATGAGAAAGGGCTTGGAACGGGACATTCCCAAAATTATGGTCGTTGGGTGTAATTAATGCACACCAGAACGGGCCGTTCTGGTTTTGGAACGGGCCGTTCTGGATGTGATTTTTAGCCATGGTTTAAGGGTCCGGAACGGGCCGTTCCGGATTTGGAACGGGCCGATGCCTATATATAGAGTTGTTTGCCACTCCCAAAAAACACACCTCTCATTTCTGATTTCTTTTCTTCTGCTCTCTCTCTTCTTTCCTCTACTTTCTGCTTCAGACCAAGGGGAAACCAGCGAGGGAGATCAACCAGATCTAGTGTAGATTCAGCTTCTACATATCTAGATTCAGCTTCTTCATATCCCGGTACGGGGGAAAAGGGGATTATTTATATATAGAGTTACATGAGGGAATTGGGTGGAGAAAGAGCCCTTAGGGTTATGAGTAATTTTATAATTATTTCTGTTTGGAGAATTAATTGTCTTATGTGATTCTGTATATATCTAGGACTATGAATATATGATTTGTTTGTAAAAATGATGCTCTGGGAGAGAGAACAAAATCATAAAAAAATGCTTGTAAGTTAGGTTTTGAGAAAAATTAGATTATTTCTGTTTGAGAAATTGGTGATCCCATTAGATTCTGCATGTGTTGAGGATTAGAAATATATATTTAATTTGTAAGAATGTTAATCTGAGAGGTAGAACGAAACTGTAGAAAAGTGCCTGTGAGTTAAGTTTTGGAATAATTGGGGGTTTTACTGTTTATGTTAAAATTATATTAAATTGATAATTCTATTGATTATTTATTAATTTATGAATGTTATTGTTATATCACTTGATAAAAATTGATGATTTATATGTGAATTGCTTGAGGTGTATGAAACCCTTATTTTGTTGGACTTATCCGTTGTGTGTATGTTATATGTTATTGAGCTATAAGATGAGATGTGATGAATGTGGATATGATTATGATTGAGGTTCCTCACACTAATGACTAGGGATGGCACGACCCCTGGGTAAGTGATGCTACAGGGAGGGCGTGACCCTAGCATGGTGTGGGATGAGTAAGACAGTTAACACGTATCACTTATGTCAAATATGGCAGCCCTGGCATAGGGTTAATTGTAAGAGATTGTGTGGATTGTGATGTGATTGTGGTTCCTCACATCAATGACTAGGGATGGCACGGCCCCTGGGTAAGTGATGCTACAGGGAGGGCGTGACCCTAGCATGGTGTGGGATGAGCGAGGCAATTAACCTGTATCACTTATGTCAGTTGTGGCGTGGCCTTGGCATAGTGTTAATTGTAAGATTGTGTGAATTATGAATGTGAAAATGATAATTTTAATTGCAAGATTTGAGATGAATGAGTTTGATTATGAATTGTGATGTGAAGATGATGAATGATTGATAGAATGATGATATATCTATAGAAATGCTTGTAATTAATATTTCATGTTATGATGAGATGATGTTGTGGATTTCCTCGTGTGCTATATATATAAATGTTTTTTTTTCTCACCGTGCAAATTGTGGATGTTGTAGGTGAGGAAGATCTGGCTACGAGTGGCATCTAGAATGCCAACGGTTGAATTGTGGGGATGCTCTGATATTGTGACATCGGTGCAGAGGATTTTTAGAACATATATTTTTTATATGGATTTGGAATTGTAAATGTTATTTTTGAAAACAATTTGTAAACTCTTGCATTTTATTTCTTTATTATTGTGGTTATTGAAGCACGATTTTTTATTTTAAAAAATTAATTTAGTTATTCTTTTTATTTTAGATTATAAAAATGTATTTAAAATAAAATTTAAAGAATAAAATTGAATAAAATTAATTTTAAATAGAATATATAAAAATGAAAATATTATGATAAATGATAATTTTAGATAAAAACATTAATTGAGATGAACAACTTGAAATAAAAATAAAATACAACAATTTTATCCTTAAATGTTTTCCCCATACACTAAGAATTGAATTTGTTATCACAATTGAGCGGTCATTGCATACTTCTTCTCGTGCCTTGGTTGTCATTGAAAGGAGTTGACTGTAAAACATTTAATATCAATATGCCCTTTTTTAATCTAATTTATATTACGTTTGAAGGGATGTATGTATTTAAACTGTATCATAGCTTACCTTCAGACAAGCAAGTCTACGAGATTTTATAACTCTTAATCGCGTTTGACACGTGAAATGATTTTACTTCTTTAAAAATTTTAAATCAAGAATTTTGATTTTTCATGATTGATAATCATTTATATTTTTTTATTTTGGAAATGTAGTTTTCTGAAAATTATTTTTAACATATTTTCTCAAAATTATTATTTTGGAGAGTGAAAATTTCACTCTCACTCCCCTCCTCCCTCTTCTCTTTCTTTCCCTTTCTCTTATTTCTCTTTTTTCTTTTTTCTTTCAGTTTCACTCTGTCTCTCTTCCTTTCTCCACCCCCTCTCTCTTATATCTTTATTTCTTTTTCTTTTTTATATTATATTTTTTCTTCTCATTTATTATGGACTTTTTTATTTAATATATCATTTTTTTTATTTAAATAATCTAAATTCAAATATATTTACTTAAATATACACTTAGATTTTTGGGTGAGAAATCAGTTACTGGTAACCGATTTCTCAAAAAGATTTTTGCAAATTTTTGAAAAGTCCCTTTGAGAAATAGGTTACTCAGTAACCGATTTCTTAATGGGCCATTTTTTTTTTTCGTTTTGTGTTTTGTGTTTTTTTTTTTGATTTTTGAAATATTTATTTTCCAGATTTGTATTTTTTTTAGTTTTTCAGTTTAAAATATTTAGATTTTAAAAAAAATTATAATGAAATTTTAAAAAATTAATTTAGTTATTCTTTTTATTTTAGATTATAAAAATGTATTTAAAATAAAATTTAAAGAATAAAATTGAATAAAATTAATTTTAAATAGAATATATAAAAATGAAAATATTATGATAAATGATAATTTTAGATAAAAACATTAATTGAGATGAACAACTTGAAATAAAAATAAAATACAACAATGGAATAGGAGATCGAATAAAAAAGAACAACAAAATTACAATCCAGTAAATTACAATCCAACTTTAATGATGTATATGCCCACCCGTTCCACACCTTGGAGGTTGTCGGTTTCTTGTTGGGTTTCAACGACCAATGCGTGGTTGTTGTGGTTCAACTTGGTCCTCGTCATGTTCTATATTAATAGTATGGGTGACTGGATTTGATGAACCACTTCCACCGACCTCAGAGTGAGAGACAAAAAATAAAAGTGAGACTACATTGAAACAAAAAAATATTATAATGGACCAAAATAGGTATTTAACCAATTTTTTTTTTATGCTTCTTTGAAAGTTCGCTTCCAATAAATTAAAGCAGTATACGCATTATTTACATTAGTCACCAAACTATCAATAATTTTCTTTTGCTGAGAAACATTATTAGGATACCTAAGCAAGAAACATGAGTTTGATGCAATATATAGTAGAATCCCACCAATAAGGAATAAAATAAGGTTATGTCTATGGCCCTCGAATATAACAAAACAACATGCAAATGGCAATGTCAAATTAAAGCATGAAACAATGGTAATCAGTGTATACTAAAAGACTCGGTTTTAAAACCTATTATTGCTTACGTGCCAGCATATATAGAACCGTATCATTGCCTTAGGGTCCGGCCTAGCTAGGTATGAAACGTGTCATGCTATTTGGCGTTATTCTTTTTGATGGACAAAACTTCACTCCAATGGGGTTGCACTGAAAAATATTTTCTGTTGGGTTCATAGAATGTAGCACATGGCTTGTGCATTATTTTATTATGGGATGCAAAGAGACGGTTTCTTAGTTAATGATTATGTGCGTATGTAACAGAGCACTTAGGTTGTTTTTAATATAGAGCAAAACGCATGTATATCGATCGTTGATTCCAAAGGAGGGACAATAGAGGATACAATTCCTCGTTGGCTTTTTGAAAGTGATGAAGAAAAAGGGGCATTGAGATAAACTAGTGCGCTGACTTAAGTGCTGACCACATCTATAGGAACGCGTAAAGTT